ATCCATCCATCCATCCATCCATCCATCCATCCATCCATCCATCCATCATATATACCCACTTCTTCCTTTTCTGGTCGTGGGGGTCACTGGTGCCCATGTCCAGCAATCACTGTGTGAGAGGCAGGGGACACCCTGGACGGGTCTCCAGTCCATCAAAGGGACACAGAGACAAACAACCATTCTCTCTCTCACCTAGGGACAGTTTAGAGTTAACAATCAGTCTAACCTGCATGTTTTTGTTCTTTCAAACCTCCGTTTGAAAATGGCGCTCAGTGAGGGAAACCGTGTAATCTGTAGCACATCAGCATCAGATTATTATCAATATCAGGACTTTGAACCTGCTTACAGTAAGGTGGTACGTTCCAGCTCTCTGCAGGTAAGGAGCATTTAGCTTTGGATTTGTCATTTGCTGACACGCCTACTGGATTGATTGACAGGTTGCGTCATAGATCCGACTCGTGGAAAAAAAAATTGACAGCTGTAAAAAAATGAAAAAAGTCTCGTACGACTTTATTCTTGTAATTTTATGGCTTATACTTTTTTTTTCTTAGCGTGGTTCTAAAGCTTTGTTGTAGTATTCAGCTCAGTTTTATAAATAGCACCTTCTCGTAGTGGATCAACCAGTTAAGACTGAGCTGAATACAGCACCTCGGACTGAAGAAGTCTTTCGGATGAAAGACGAAACGTTTCTACATTTTTTATTTTTTTGCTTTGTTTTGATTTGTTGATTGTCCAGAGGACCAGACTTAACTTTTTTTTTAGATTTTTTTCTACCTGGATTATTGAGCAGCATCAGCATGCTCTGAGAGGACTTCTGTGGTGAGCTGGCACTAAAAAGAAATTGACCAGACTTGTTACCTGTGACATACTCTTTGACCTGATGAATCTTGCTGATGGGGTTGTTTCCCCGAAACATGTACAAGTTAAAGGGCTGGGGATCTTTTCCAACACGCGCCCATGTGCTGATGTCAGGAGTTGTCCACCTTCATAATCCAAAAAGAAGAAATACTGATCAAATACGACATTGACAAAACACACAGTAGGTACTTCATTACAGTCACATGACGAGCTTGCTGTGGAAGTGAAGAAACAAGTGATGGTGGCCTACCTTCCTGCAGGAATGTCATAATCTCTGTTCCCAAAATGCAGCAGTCGAGTCAGAGGATCATACAGTCCTCCATGGAAACCAATCACTAACACAAAGTCTGGGTTCGAGTCAAAGTAAACTTCACCGTATGCTGTGTATTGTACCTACACACACACACACAGAGAAGAGAGAGATGGTCATTATTTGCTTCAAGTGATATTCCAATAGAAAAAATGTGCTGTCTGCCCTCTACTATTGCCACAAGTGTTATCAGTTGTCTTTGTTACATCATAAAAATATCTTGGAATAACAACTGATGAAGACTTAACCTTTAAGCCTCATAGTGGCAATCCGCTAAGGAAACTTAAGTTAAAATTGGGTTTCCTCTTTTGCCATAAGTCTTGTTTTCCCATTTTGTGCCAGTAAACAGTTGGTTTCTGCCACCTTCTTGACTCTCATAGACTATGGTGACATTATGAACACCTCTGCCAGCTCTTTACGTCTGCTGGATACTGTCCACCGCAAAGCTCTGAGATTCATCACAGGCAGCAAACCTCCAATCATCATTGCACTTTAAACTCTCTGTAAATGGCCATCATACATTGTACACCTTTATTTGCAAATCCATCCTGAGTCTGGTTCCATCATATTTCTCTCATTACATGACTTGTAAACAGCACCATCACAGCCTTGGTGCTCAGGATTTCATTATCTACAGTCTTCCATGAGTGAGTAAATGGACTGTACTTCTATTCCATTCATTTCAATTCAGTTTATCTATACAGCGCCAAGTCACAACACAAGTCATCTCAGGGCACTGAACAGAAACATTCATATAAGTCATTAGAAATGTTCATATTTAAAAATAATAATTTAACATTATTTATCTGAGGAGCAGACTGCTTTAACTTTAACTCCATCACAAAACTCTCATCTTGAACAAGCATGAAGGCGACAGTGGAAAGGAAAAACTCCATCATGAGGAAGAAATCTTTAGCAGAACCAGGATCAGGACAAGCGGCCATCTGCTTCAACTGGCTGGGTTTGGTAGGAACAGATACACAATGGCAGGTCAAGAACCACATGTTAAGATAGAAATAGTATCAAATAAAACTATTCAATTTTAACAATTAATTTAAGGAAATTAGGTCAGTTCATCCTTAAGTAGTTGAAGCTTAAGACAGCATAACAAGCCAACCCTAATTATAGGATTTATCAAAGAGGAAAGTCTTAATCCCAGTCTGAAAACTGGACAATGTGTCAGCCTCACGGACAGAAACGGCAAGTTGGTTCCACAAGAGAGGAGCCTGATAACTGAAAGATCTGCCTCCCATTCTGCTTTTGGAAACTCTAGGGACCGTGAGATAACCTGCAGTCTGAGAGCAAAGTGCTCTGTTAGGAAAATATAGAACAACAAGATCTCGAATATAAGATGGAGCTAGGTTGTTGAGCGCTTTGTAGATTAGTAGCAGGATTTTGAATTCAATTCTGGATTTGACAGGGAGCCAATGGAGAAAAGCTAAAACTGGAGAAATATGATCTCTACCAGTAACTCCAGTTAAGACTCTGGCAGCAGCATTTTGGATCAACTGAAGACGTTTTAAAGAAGTATTTGGACACCCAGATAATAAACCATTGCAATAGTCCAGTCTAGACGTGACAAATGCATGGACCAGTTTTTCTGCATCATCTTTAGATCAGATGTTTCTAATTCTATTGATATTACGCAGGTGGAAGAAGGAGGTTCTAGTAACGTTTTTAATG